CTTGTCACATTAAACCCACTTAAACCAGCGTCGCTGTTTGAAGCTGTCTGGCCAAGAGCGAGCATTTTACACAAAATTTCTTGATCTCAATCCAAAATTTGCTGTGATAGTAATTGAATAATTTATAGTTTTGCAGAGCAAGTTGGAATTCTACTGGTGGAGCGGATAGTACGAAGCAGGACATCTTTTTGAGCACAGAGTTGGTGGTCATGTTGGGATTTTTGATGATTCTAATCATTGAGCAGGTAAGATTACATGAACTTCACTTGATTTTTACTCTGTAGCAGATGAGACTGGCTTTTCCACAGTCATGTTGTTATATTGCATTGTTTCATCTTCAGGTGGCCTTGACATGCTCCAGTAATGGTACGAATTCTAAAACATCACCAACAGGTGCTACTGCTCCACCATCTTTGCGTTCTTTGTTAGAAGGTGAATCAGAAGACGGTCAGCCACTTGTTGATACTACTCTCGACGATCACGATGACGGCATGCAGGATATAGTCTTTAGATCGGTAAGTCGAGACGTTACGAAAATTCCTTTCCTGTTTAGTTTCTGCTGAATGTTGTCTAGGCTTCGCCTGTTGATCGCACTACTCTTCGAATGCATCACGCATCGCCACCACAGGAAGGAATATCCGCGCGTACACTTTTCTTGCTTTTTGGACTGTCTACGCATTCATTGTTTGAAGGAGTAGCGTTAGGCGTTCAGGTAACACAAAATTTATAGGGCTCTCCTGCTATCCGGGTCTCAAAATCTAATTTTGGATTGGTTTGAAACTTTACCCAAAGTGTAATTGGCATGTTAATCACAAATATCAAACCCATTCCGCAGGCTACGGTCCTGCTGTAGAATTACGGTATGTTGGCTATGCAATTCATAATACTGCCTGAAGAGAAGTTTAATCGGCTTATTTAGCCCTGATTAAGAATATCATATACATTTCGCACGATACCGTTTTACTGTAGGCCGTAGACGGTAAGTGGTCAAATTCATAAAATTAAAAAGGTAGGATTACTTAATGTGACACGAATACCAGATTTATTTAATAGCAGTAGATATTCATAGGTATATGGTGGAAAGTCCGAATTACGGTATCTTTTTAATCATAGAAGCGTCTTTTTTAAAGTTGTTCAAAAATATAGTGCTTGCTTCGCATCATCACGTCTTACTATAGAGTAAGTGCTAAGGAACATCTTATCTTAGCCAAAGCTTAAGGTAGAGTAATCAATCTTTGACCTCGTTATGGCGGAATGCCGGTAGCAGAAAGCGATACGACCCAATGTTTGTGGGCAGCTTTTTACTTCAATTCTTTTCATGCTAATCTGAAATGCTGACCAGTTGC